ACGAAGGATAAAAAATTATACCCCGTGATACATGTGACCAAGGATATTAAAGAAAAAAACATCCAAAAAGAGTCAAAATTCCAATCAGAAACTGTTAATAAGACCAAGGGACGATCACAATTCACACGAAAGAGCAAAGTCCATATACTGGAATTGAAAATCATATAAATATGGCTAAGAAGCTCTATATCGGTGGTCGAGTAATAAGAATTTGGTCTCTTTATATGGATTGGGACAAATTTTCCTTCATTAGCTAACTTTTAAAGTTGAACTAGATTCAAATATCATATCTTTTAATGTTATTAAAATCAAATTCATTTCATAAAAATATTAAAAAATCTCACATCAATAAAAAAATAAAAAAATAATCTAGCTAGTATTTATTAGTCGTGGAACTTCAAATAAGTCGACTTTCAGAAAATCAAATCGCCAATTTTGAAACTTGAATTAAGTGATGTGACAACAATCCGTTAGGTCTTTTATTTTTCTATTATTCCCTCGTTACTTAATTAGTTGCTCATTTTTGAATTGATATATCTATGAAATAAGTACTAATATTATTGATATAATAATTTATTATTTTATTTCTATTAATTATGAAGTGAATGAATTAAAAATTTAAAATTTTTAAGAAGTTTTAACTTTGTTAAAATAATTAATTAAGGATATAATAAGTAAAAATAATTTATTTTTTCTTAATTTGTCAAAATAGATAAGTAATTAGGAATAAAAGTAAATATAAAATAAACAAGGGATACATGTTTTTTTTTTTTTTTAACAATGTGTTGTTATATAATAATGAAAGAATATCTCAATGACACCGCTATAAAGAAGTTTGAGTATAAGTATCTTCTTTTAATGGTGTTCAAATTATGTTACGCTCAAATAATCATATGTTAATTGGAAGGGTTTAAAGTAAGCATTTTTTAGAAAGCATAATGAATATAAAGTATTAGGAATTAATTAAAGTAATAGTTAATAGAGTAATGAATAGATATCACAGTAATTTATAAAAAGAAAGGTGAAGTGATAATAAAATAAGTTGATAAAGAAAATATTAATCAAAGATATTTTTAACTTTTGTTAGTATGGAATTATATGTTTATCCTTGATCATTATTCACTTCTATTTTTAGAATTATTTATTTCTCTTGCTATTTTTATTAATATAAAATTACATTTTTTTTTGGGAAAAAGATCTGATATACCCCTCAACTTTGTCATTTGGAGCTGATATACTCCTCGTTATAAAAGTGGCTCATATATGCCCTTACCGTTATACAAACGGCTCACATATATCGCTGCCGTTACGAAATGACTCACATATACCTTTCATTTAACGGAAGTTAAAAAATTAGTTTTAAAGTTATATTTATTACTTCTATTTTTTTAAAAAAAAATTATTTAGGGGTATTATGATTCTATCAAAGTTCAATGTATATTTTAATTTTTTCATACATAAATTATTTCTTAACTTCTTTTATTATAATTATTTGAATTTCTAATTCTTATTTTGTTTTTTCTTTCATTCCTTAGTTTAAAGAATAAAAACTTAAACTATTTTTTTTTTGTGTTTTGTAATTTAATTTCGTATTCGAAGGAAAAATTTGGTCATCTACAATAAGTTTTACAAGAATATTAGTGAAACATAAATAAATTTGATTATCAAAATACTAATTATAAATTTGTCATTGAAATTAAAAAAAGTCAAAAAAATATGTTTGACGAGGATAAATTTACTCATATGGAATTAAATTTTTTTAGAAAAAAATAATAAAAATTTAGATTAAAATTATTATTTTTTTCATTTCCGTTAGAGAAAAAGGATATGTGTGAGCCATTTATTTACAAATAGGATATATATGAACACTTTCGGTATCAACTCTAAATAATGAAGTTGAGGGTATATGAGACTTTTTTCTTATTTTTCGTTTGACCGTTGTGTTACCTTTTTCCACTGAGTTTCAAAATTGTCGCTTCTAAGTTCTAAAATAAAATAATAGTAGTTGTGTTTACTGAAAATCTATAAAATGAGAACAACTCCCCAGTTTTCAAGTATGCAGATTTCAACAATATTTCTTCTGTTTTATAAAACTAATTGAAATCGAAAGGAAAATGATTTCCTTATTTGCGGTATTTCCATTCTTAATTTTCTTGGGATTTATTCTGCTATCATTTTTTCAGCTTTCATCCAAAAAATCCAAGAAAAATCTTCCTCCATCTCCTCCAAAACTTCCTTTGATCGGAAACTTTCACCAATTGGGGCAACAACCACACCGCTCTCTCCAAAAATTAACGAATGAATATGGCCCAATGATGATGCTTCAGTTCGGCAGCGTCCCAGTATTAATAGCTTCCTCAGCCGAAGCAGCTTCCCACATCATGAAAACTCAGGATCTGGGTTTTGCTAACAAGCCCAAGTCAATTATTCCCAGCAAGCTTTTTTTCGGCCCAAAAGACGTAGCCTTCACTCCATATGGTGAGTACTGGAGGAACGCCAGAAGTGTTTGTATGCTTCAGCTTTTGAACAACAAAAGAGTCCAATCCTTTAGTAAAATTAGGGAAGAAGAAACTTCTCTTCTTCTCCGAAAGATTAACCACTCAATTGGCAATTCACAAGTTGTTGATTTGACGGATCTGTTTGTGAGCATGACGAACGACGTGCTTTGCAGGGTGGCATTAGGAAGGAAGTATTGTGATGGGGAAGAAGGGAAAAAATTCAAGTCATTGCTGTTAGAGTTTGTTGAATTATTGGGTGTTTTTAATATCGGTGATTACATGCCATGGCTTGCATGGGTGAATCGTTTCAACGGTTTAAATGCGAAAGTGGACAAAGTAGCTGAGGAGTTCAGTGCATTTTTGGAAGGTGTAATTGAGGAACACAAGGAGAAGATCAAAACGGATGAAAAAGAGGAAGGATCAGCAGACTTTGTGGATATATTGCTCCAAGTTCAGAAAGAAAACAAGTCCGGTTTTAACGTTGAGATGGATTCGATTAAAGCTATTATCATGGATATGTTTTCTGCAGGAACAGACACAACCTCCACTCTTTTAGAATGGACAATGAATGAACTCATCAGAAATCCAAACGCATTGCGAAAATTAAGAGATGAAGTGCGGAAAGTAACTCAAGGGAAATCAGACGTAACAGAGGACGATTTGGAACACATGCCTTATTTAAATGCAGTAATGAAAGAGAGTCTACGTCTTCATTCTCCGGTGCCATTGCTTCCTCGAGAAGCAATTAAGGATACCAAAGTATTGGGCTACGACGTGGCTGCTGGAACTCAAGTCTTTGTTTGTCCATGGGCTATCTCTAGGGATCCAACCATATGGGAAAATCCAGAGGAGTTTCAACCAGAAAGGTTTTTGGATAGTTGTGTTGATTACAAAGGGTTACATTTCGAGTTAATTCCATTTGGTGCAGGCAGAAGAGGTTGTCCTGGAATCACATTCGCTAAGGTCGTGAATGAATTGGCATTGGCTAGAATGTTGTTTCATTTTGAATTTTCGCTACCAAATGGAGCAAAAGCTGAAGATTTGGATGTGGATGAAGCTCTTGGAATCACAGTCAGACGAAAGTTCCCTCTCTTAGTCGTTGCAACTCCACGCATTTGATTTCTTATGTTGTATGTAGCAGTGCCTTTGGAAGTTGTCTTTCATCTTGATATTTTAGCATGATACTAGCGCAAGGTGGGCTGCGTCCAACATACACCAGGCAAATAATGTATCTTCAAAATTGTTAAAATATATTTCCTAAGTATCAGTATTAATGAACGACGTGATACCTTATTTTGAGGTTATCTATTTCTCTAGTTGGTCACACTTCCAGAGTTGTTTTTAATTTAAAGGGATCTTGGTCCTACCTCCTTGTATGTATATCGTAACTTTGCCAACTTCATTTTTGACACTCCTTTGTGGAGTCTCATTACATTCTTTTGACACTTTCTTTTACAATAAAAAAAAAAACAAATTGAAAAAGAATGTAATACATTCATTGATGACGTGGCAAACGATGAATTAAATGATTACACGTGTTATTTTAAGTTTAAAATTATTTAAAAATCTATTTTATAACTAAAATAAAAATATTATTCTAAAAAATCAATTTAACCCCTCGCTCCCCAATAGCAGTTGTCTTCTCTACTATACCCAACAATTTTCTTAATTTGCTCTTTAAAATTGTTTTAGATTCTTTTTAGCTTTCTATCTTAGTGTTATTTTTAAGAGAAAAAGAGAGAAGGAGGAGGGAGACAAGGAGTGAAAGAAAGAAAAATTATAAAATATAAGTAATCATATCCATTTTTTTAGCGAAAAACATGGAATGAGAAATGTCTTTTTTACACCTATATCTCTTTTGTGCTTTTTTTTTTAGTGTTGTTTTGGGGGAAGAGAAGAAGGAATGACCAAATATGAATGTTGATATTTATTTATCCGGCAAAAAAGGTAAAGGGAGGTAATGATAAATTTATGAAAGTAATACAATCAAGAATAAAAAATGACTTAAAAACAGATCTGAATTAAAAATTTAACCTCCATTGAAGGATTTTAAGCTTAAAAAAATAGTGGGAGGTGGTGACTTGAAAATTGGAGAAGAAGAAGAGAAAATAAAATCCAAAATTGGCTAAATTGAGCTTTTCACGCGCTATTGTTGAGTGTATTATACCCACTTTGATATGTTAGCAAAAAGAGTCAAAATGACACAATGGGACCCTATATGAAGTGTTTAGAATGAACATCGTTCAGTTAAGATATCTACATGAAATTTGATGCCAACTTTAGAGGACAATCGATAAATTTGACCATTAAAATTTCAATCTGAAAATGTAATGAGCCGCCCGGGACCCTACCAAACAAAATTTGTGGTTAAAGTTCGTTTGGGTTATATTTTGTGTCGTGCAATAATGCAAATAATTAATTGCAGTGCTCCCTTAGATTTTAACTTGGTATGTAAATTATAAAAAAGTGTTTTATGTGACATAATAAGCTAAGCAGGATGTACATATTAATTTTTTAATTATATAGTATAAACTTAATTGTTTATTATTTACACTTAAAAATTAGATTACAGACATATTTTGCCTTTTCAAATATACCCAATTCTAGATTTCTCTCCTCAATTCTGCTTCCTGTGTTTTTCTTCTTTTGTTGACTTTTTACTGATTTCCTTCTCAGTATCATTTTTGTATGTAAATCCATTTTTTCCTCAAATGCTCATATAAATTGTAAAAATAGCTTAAAGTATTTCCTTCAAAGCAAACAAGTTAAATGTTTACAGATTGGCCATGTCATTTTAAGACCCATTAATTCATTTTTCCCCTTTACTAACTTTGGTAACAAAAAGTTAATGAGCGAATGATTAAGAGATCCCAACAATACCATTATTTCATACTAAGCATGTTGTTTCATAGTTAAAAGTCTAGCAACTTAGAATATTGTTATTCTTCCTCATACACCAGCATAACAATCATAGTTTGTTTCTTGTTAATGCATAGGATATATTTGCTGCTGGTACGGATACAACATATTCAACTCTAGAGTGGATAATGACAGAGCTTTTGAGACATCCAAGAGCCATGGAAACATTACAGAATGAAGCATGAGGATTAGCACAAGGGAAAGCAGAGATAACAGAGGATGACTTGGGTAATATGCACTATCTTAAAGCAGTAATCAAAGAGAGTCGCAGGCTTCATCCACCAATTCCATTACTAGTTCCTCGAGAATCAATCGAAGACATAATATTACTTGGCTATAAAATTCCTGCTAAAACAGGAGTCATTATCAATTCTTGCTCAGTCGGAAGAGATCTTTTGTCATGGGAAAAAAATCCAGAGGAGTACCGACCAGAGAGGTTCTTAGATAATAATATTGATTTGAAAGGATTAAACTTTGAGTTGATCCCATTTGGAGCAGGGAGAAGGGGCTGCCCGGGAATTGTTTTTGCTATTGTGGTAATAGAGCTAGCATTAGCAAGGATTGTGCACAAGTTCAATTTAGCATTATCCGAAGGTTTAAAACCGGAGGAATTGAACATGACGGGAGGCAGTGGCATCACTATTCGTAGGATATCACCTCCGCTAGCAGTGGCCACTCCATGTTCTACTTCTTAACTTGTTATTATTAAAAGTTGGGAAAAAGGTCCCTCAACTTTGTCATTTGGAGCTGATATATCCTCATTATAAAAGTGACTCATATATGCCCTTATCGTTATACAAACGGCTCACATATACCCCTGCCGTTACAAAATGGCTACATATCCCTTCATTTAACGGAAGTTAAAAAATTAGTTTTAAATTTATATTTATTACTTCTAATTTTTGAAAAAAAATTATTTAGGGGTATATATGATTCTTCTATCAAAGTTCAAGGTATATTTTAATTATTTTTCATATATAAATTATTTTTTGACTTCTTTTATTATAATTATTTGAATTTCTTATTCTTATTTTGTTTTTTTCTTTCATTCCTTAGTTTAAAGAATAAAAAATTAAACTATTTTTTTTGTGTGTATTGTAATTTAATTTCGTATTCGAAGAAAAAATTTGGTCACCTACAATAAGTTTTACAAGAATATTAGTGAAACATAAATAAATTTGATTATCAAAATAATAATTATAAATTATTCATTGAAACAAAAAAAAGTCAAAAAAATATATGTTTGACGAGGATTAAATTTACTCATATGGGATTATATTTTTTAGAAAAAAATAATAAAAATTTAGATTAAAATTATTATTTTTTCATTTCCTTAAAGGAAAAGGGTATATGTGAGCCATTTGTTTACAAGTAGGGGTATATATGTGTCATTTTCATAACAAGGGGTATATGAGCTCTAAATGACAAAGATGAGGGGTATATCAGACCCTTTTTCCTTAAAAGTTTCTTCATTCCTCCCTAAGATGACTCGAATCCATATACTTATAAATCATTTATTACACATCTTAGTCACCAATATATGCCATGAAATAATTCTTCCAGTACGTAACTAACAATAATATTACAACATGTGATAAGTGGACCGGTACTGACTCCCCATGTCTCCCTTTCTGTCTGTTTTATACAACGGTCCAAAAGTTCAAGCTACGCTTTACTTATTTTTAGACCGTATGTTTTCATTTTCATCTAGTGGAGTACTATTATCTTCTTTGGTCCTAATCATGATATTTTTCATTGACAAATAGTATGAGACATTTCAATTATTTGAAAAGAGAACGTCTGACAACCATATAAAAATTGACATAATAAAGGCAAACTAAATGTAACAAGTTAACAAAAAAGATAACTATATTTTGAAGGTATTAATAATACAAATCTAATGGAATATTTACTTCACTAAGGAAAAAACTCATTAAGTTTAGAGATTTGTTTATGAATTCAGCCTTTTAAAAAAAGTTGAATGGCAAAAGAATCCTATCCTTAAAGTTCCTTGAGACTTTGTTATATATTTTCAGCGATGTTTTGAAAGTCATTAAACTTTTTGTGGTATAAAAAAGAGAGGACAAAAAAGAAGATTGTAGTGAACTTAGTTGCATCCTACCCACACGAAATTTGTGGTTAAAGATCTATTGCTTATCTTTGTGTGAACTAAACCAAAATTTGTGCTTAAAGTTGGAATATTAGTCAAGCACAAAATCAAGGGAAAATTGTATATAATAGCAAACTAATAACTTAAAATAAATGGAATATCTAGGGTTTGATTTAATTGTGTTCCATAGCAAACATTAGCTAAAATTTGCCAGCGTTTCTCTCCCAAAAATCTCGCTAGGATGAAACCCTTGCTTGTTTATCCCGACGAGGGTTTATGAATCACTCAAACGAGCCTTTCTAGCCGCATCTGAATCGGCATCCCTATCCATATGTTTATGCGCAGGGGCATCCAAATCCGAATCTGTAGAATCTATTGGGGAATCCCCATCCGCACCCGAATTGGCTAAATCTAGTATAGTGGGTCTTGTTCCGATGCGGGAAAAAATCTTTTTAAGAGGCATCTCGGCGAAAGAGGACTGAGAACCATCTGTTTTGTATAAAGGAGAGAAAATTGTATATACACATGCAAAAATATATATCTTCGTGTTATACACTTAATTATACAATTTACAAACATATTACTTCAAATATTGCAGAGAGAAAGGCCAACAAATTATACAATTGCGAATTATACAATTGCAGTGAAATACAATTTTCTCTAGCTTTATACAACATAAGTGTATATATTGTGTTTCTGTTTTTGTTATATATTGTATAATATATACAATATATAATATTTTGCAAAATCGCTGCAGAGGCAGCGTTGCTTTTTCTGGTGGAATAAGTCGCTATTGATACAACGATTTTACCGTTTTGGTTAATATAAAATTTTATATATCATTTTAAAATTTTTGTTGATATTTTATACCTTTTAGGCTCCGGATTCTCATTAGTTTGTGTGGTGAAGCTTATCCTTTAAAGTTTTATACACAAATTAGAGATACTTCTATACTAGTACTTGTTTCCATTTATATACTCAACTCTAGATTTCCTAGTTGACAAAAAACCAAGTAACAATGGATCTTACCTGGTATGCTCTTCTAGTTCCTTTGTTTTTCTTCCTTCATAAATGCTTCTTTTCTACATCAAATAAGTTACCACCCTCTCCAACAAAGCTACCAATCATAGGCAATCTCCATCAACTTGGATCGCTTCCTCATCGTTCTCTCCATAAACTATCCAAAAAATATGGTTCACTCATGCTACTTCACTTTGGCAGCAAGCCAGTGATTGTTGCTTCCTCCGTAGATGCTGCTCGCGATATCATGAAAACTCGTGATCTCGTTTGGTCAAATAGACCTAAATCTAGCATCGCCGATAGAATCTTTTATGGCTCTAAGGATTTGGCCTTTAGTCCCTATGGTGAATACTGGAGACAAATTAAAAGTATCACTGTGCTTCACCTTCTCAGCAACAAAAGAGTGCAATCTTATCGTGTTACTAGAGAAGAAGAAACGTCGAATATGATTGAAAAAATCAGACAAGCATGTGATTCTAATTCTTCGAGTTCAGTGATAAATCTAAGAGATTGTTTATGTTCTCTCACCAATAACATAGTTAGCAGAGTGGCCTTGGGGAGGAAATATAATGAAGAAGGACAAGGAGGAATAAATGCTAAGGTCATTCTACATGAACTTGGTGAACTTTTGGGTACTTTTAGCATTGGGGATTACATTCCGTGGCTTGAATGGATCAATAAAATCAACGGTTTAGACAACAAAGTGGAGAAAGTAGCTAAAGAGTTGGATACATTTTTGGAGAGTGTGATTGAAGAACACGTCAGTAGAAAAAACAGAGGAGAAAACAGCACAGGTGAAGCTAAAGACTTTGTAGACGTTTTGTTGGAAATTCAAAATGGAAAGGAAACTGGATTTCTTCTTCAAAGGGATTCATTGAAAGCTATCATCTTGGTATTCAAGCATCTCTCATACTCCTATTTATTCCCTAGTTGATGTTTTTATTTTTTATTTTTTATTTTTTTAAAAAATTTCTTTCGTGTTGTGCGGAATTCGAGATAATATGAGGAAATATAAATGCGAAAAATAAGACAACAGATTTACGTGGCTCACCAATAAGTTGGCTACGTCCACGGGAAGGGGGGAGCAGTTTTATTATGGAGAGGCAAAAAACAGAATACAGAATAGGGTTTGCCATAGCGTCTATATATAGTGCTAAGCTACGCCCTAACAGGCTTGGGCCCAACATACAGAATTGACAGATAATTAAGGGCCCAATACAACAACATTGTATACCATCCGGCCGGGGGCGTCTCCGCCCCCCCGGACCCCAGGCCAGGGGGCGCGTCGCCCACCTGGACCCCCCGACTCGCTGACCGGGCAGCGAGACCCTCGTCCTTTCTGTTGTAACGGATCCGATTCAAGGCATTCAACATTTCGAATCATTGATTATAATTTGTACTACTGTATGGTTACATCATTAAAAACTTGGTGATGTAGAATATTCAGTACTGATTCGTTTCCACTTAGTCATATGCGCGCAATCCAGCATAACAATTTTAGTTTTTGTTGTGTGTATTCCCTTCTTTTTGGGAAAATTATCTCAGATGACAAACTATACTAACTAATTAATCAATGAGAGTATAGTTTAATTTATTTGCTCTCAATGAAGGAAGAGTATAATATAGTAAAAATTTTATTAAAAAAAACATTTTATACAAATTAAAAGTTAGATAACAAACTAAACTATACGCATAGAATGTAATTATGTAAACTGTATCCATTTAATGTTATTTCATAAATTCAGTTTGCGATATATGATTTTTTTTTGATGTGTAGGATAATTTTGCTGCTGGTACGGATACAACCTATACAGCTTTAGAGTGGATAATGATAGAGCTCTTGAGGCATCCAAGAGTTATGAAAAAATTAGAGGAAGAAGTGCGAGAATTAGCTGGAGGGAAAACAGAGATAACAGAGGATGACTTGAGAAATATGCAGTATCTTAAAGCAGTGATCAAAGAGACTCTCAGGCTTCATCCACCAATTCCACTACTAATTCCTCGAGAATCAACAGAAGACATTGAATTACTTGGCTATCACATACCTGCAAAAACTCAAGTTATTATCAACGCATGGGCAATTGGAAGAGACCCGTTGTCATGGGATGATCCAGAGGAGTACCGACCAGAGAGGTTCTTAAATAGTAATATTGATTTGAAAGGATTGAACTTTGAGTTGATTCCGTTTGGAGCAGGGAGAAGGGGCTGCCCAGGAATTTCTTTTGCTCTTGTGGTGATTGAGCTAGCATTAGCAAGGCTTGTGCACAAGTTCAATTTCTCATTACCAAAACCAGAGGAGTTGGATATGACTGAAGCCAGTGGTGTCGCTATTCGTAGGAAATCACCTCTGCTAGCGTTGGCAACTCCAAACATCTTATAATAATGTGAATCACTTCTATTTCTCCTAACATCTCATAATAAATTAAGTCTTTTCTATTGATCTTAATATCACGTTATAAATAAGTCTTTTTGCTATTTCATTTGGTTAAAATATTCACAGTTTCTTGAATTTTTTCTCCGCCATCGTCAACTTCAAGTACTTATCAACCCCATCCCCTACAATCACCATACCTTCTTTTTTTTTTTGCTTACTTTCTTAATTTTTATATATTTGAA